CTTGTCCTTCTTGGGGGGGGGAGGCTTTAGAGCTGAGGGCAGCGAGGGGAGGTTGTCCAGTGTCATCAGACTGTCCTGGAGGTGAAGGTGGACCTCAGGCTCTGCTCCCCGAGGCATAGCCCAGCCTCATTGTCAGGCACGTAGCATGTGTCTCCCGTGTGCATCTACTTACATTGGCTGTCGCCGTTCTCTTCCCACGGGTCTGGTGTGCCCCAGGACTCTCCCCTCTGCTCCAGAATGGGTGAATGGCCAGGTACTTTCATCCTGGACTTCAGGCTCTTGCCCTGTCGAGTGGGGCACTTGGATGTCCAGGTGTAAGGGCGTCCTACCCAGGGGAGATTTTGGGCCTGGACAGAAGGAAGGTCCTCAGGAATAGAGCCTTTGGGCCTGGAGGGAAGTAGTGACGCTCCTAGTGCCTCTGAGGACTTGGGGAGTGGCCAGAAGAGCCCAAAGTGAGGGGTGGGTGCTTGGGTGCTTGGACCCTCTGAGCCCCAGTTGGCCACCCACCCTGCATTCCAGCCAAGCCGGGGCTGGCTGTGAGCCAGTGCCCTACCTACCACTGTGGTCTTATGGGTACGTCCCCCCACCACCACCACCTTGTAAGGCCTCTGCCCCCTACGCAGCTCCCGGAGCCTGGGTGGGTTTAGTCTCTCCACTGATGAGCCCTTGTGTCCTGGTTATCTCGAGTGCTGAGGGACTGACTCCTCCCTGTGTCCCTGCCACCCCCATGCAGGGTCAGCAGGCTACGGCCGCCGCCACCGGGGTTGGAAGACCGTCCCACTAATGTTTTATCAGAGCACGAAGCCGGGGTGGGACCACTGTGCAGTGTGTGCTTATCGGCTTTGGACCTTGGGCAGAGTGGTGGGAGGGCTGGGGCGACAGCCAGCCCTTAGGAAGGCAGAGATGGTCGTTGGCAGCACCAGGTCTCCCTTCCAGGTGGGAGAGGACCTAGGCTCTGGGGTCAGCCCTCTCACCAGCTGGGTGAAACTTAGGGAGCAGCCTGGCTGGCCAAGACTTGGCCTTCTTATCCGTGGAATGGGCTGACTTGGGGCTGACGATGTGAGGGGAAGCCTGAGCGGCTCCTGAGGTTCACGGTGGGGCTCACAGACCCGCCCCAGTGGGGCCTCTGTGCTTGGCCATCGTTAGTTCCACGTGCCTTTACGGGAGGGTGTGTAGTGTTGTCTGAAGGTGGGGTGCGGTGGGAGCAGGGGCAGAGCCACGGATGAGGCCCACGCCCGGGGGTGTCCCGGCAGAGGTAAGGTTGGGAGGGATCTGAGGCAGCTACACCACTGCCCCGTCTGTTGCTCACTCAGCCCCGTGTGGTCTCCACAGTGACCCTTGCCCCAGCCTTGTGTGAGTTTTTGCACTCAGGGATCTGCAGCCTTGGAAAGTGGGGGTTGACCTTTCCTTGTGGGGTCGGGGTGCTGGCATCCCCCTTTGCTGGAAGCCTGTCTCAGGAGCGAATGGTCAGAGTCGGGACACAGGAGCCGGGGAAGGGCAGCTCTCTCCTTGGGCATGGCCTGGGGGGTGTGGGGCCTCTGCGGGCACAGAAGCAAGGCTGGGCCTAGGTGTGCTGGGGGTGGGCAGTGGGTGTGGGAAGAGGGGTTCGTGACTTCTTCCTCAGCCTAATTAATCTTGTTTACCAAACGCACGCTTACCAGGTGCAAACCCCCAAAGGAACCGCCCCTTGGCTTCCATCCAGATTAATTCTGCGATAATTAGGAGATGCCTTCCAAGGTGCCCCATGGCCCTTCCCAACCTCTGTGACTGCCACCCACCCAGAGCCCTCCATTGGGCTCTGTCAGGTGGGTGGGCACGGCCCATGGGCACCTGCAGCTCGTAAACCAACTGAGTCCTGACAGGCTCCCCACGGTCCCGGCCCTTGGAAGCAGGGTGGGGCAGGGGGCTAGAGGCCACGAGGGTCCCCTTCCCAGAAGCCTCAGGTAACCTAGCTCTGGGCTCCGTGTGCTCACTTTAAGCCACAGGTTTGTAGCAGCTCCTGGCAGCTATGCTCGAAGTTTCTTGACCTGTCTGGAGCCCCTCAGGCTGCTGATGAAGTCTTACAGGACCTGAGGCCCCAGTGGGGCAGGGTCTTGACCTTCTTAGGCACTCCGAGGGCAGTTTCTTTTGCCTTATGGTGGGGGAGGCAGCCTCCAGCTGGGGCTGAAAATGCCCCATGTTGGCAGGCTCGGGAATGCTCGTATCAGGGGGCTGGGTGCTTGGACTGGGCTCAGCCAGGAGCTGCACCCCCTTCAGAGTCTGAGCTGCTGGGACCCTGAGTGCACTTGCCCCTTCTCATCTGAGAGGCCAGGCTGCCAGGAGGCTAGAGGAGGTGGAGCAGGTGTGATTGCCCTTATAATGTCAGTACAGGCTCCAGGGTAGGAAGACAGGCCTGCCTCAGGTCCCCTCCCCTGAGGGCCCCCCCTTTGCAGGCCCTCCTCCTTCCCTCCCTTGGGGTCCCCCCTAAGCACAGATGCACTTGGGGGGAGAACCCTTCTTTTCAAAGTGTGAAGTGGCCTGAGGTCTGAACTTGGACCTCATCACTCTGAAACGGCTGAGGGGCTCCTGGTGATGTGCATACTGTTTGTGGCCCTACTGCCCAGTGATGGACCGTCCGTTCATCCCGAACAGCCCCTGGGGGAGGGGGATCCCTGCTAGGCAGGCTGCACTCTCGTCCCCACAGCAAGGGCAGGAATCTTAGCCACAGGAGGGAGGATGGGGAATGAGCTGGGCTGGATTGGAGGCCCCCTGAGAACTGCCAACCCAGCCCCTCGCTGGGTGTGGGCCCCTCCTCCTCGCTGGCAGCCCAGACTTCCGAGGGGAAGGCTTTGGCTCCTCTCTGTTCACTCCGGCGGACTTGGCCCAGAGTGGGCCTCCCATCCGTGCATTTGGACTGGTGGTGGGTCAGGGTGGGCTGGGACGACGGCCTTCCATCTGGCTGGTCCCTCCACCTCTGAGCAGCGGCGGCCATGCATCCTGCCCCGAGTGAGGGGAAATGACCACTCCCCAGTGCCCCACTCGGTGGTGGTGGGTGATGGACCGGCCTCCCTCTCTCTGACCCATGGTCCTGGCCCGTCCTCGGTGGTCTGAAGTGAAGCTACGCGCTTCTTTCTTCTAAGTATAATCTAAACTTGGGTTCCAGGGTAAAAGCCAAACAACACGCCCACAATGATCCCTTTCCCTCCCTTGGGCCCCAGGCCCAGCCACTGTGCCCTACAAAGCTCCCTGTGGTGAAGGCCGGCGCCCAGCCGTGCCGGTTTCTTTCCACGGCTTTCCCGCTCCGTGGTGCTGGAGTTTCCTGGGGCTGCCGTAGCTCGTCACGTTGGACGGGGGGCCTTAAATCAAGACTCCTTCTCGGACAGTTCTGCAGGGCGGAGGTCCAGGATAGGTCCCCCTGGGCTCCCTGCAGGTGCGGGCAGAGCGTGAGATCTAGGGAGGTTTTCTCTTGAGACGCTTCAGAGTGACCTCTAGTGAGACCTAAAAAGTTATTTGAGTATATAGTTGATACACGAAGTTATGTTACTTTCAGGTGTACAACTTAGTGCTTCAAAAATTTCATTGTCATTTTATAAAATGTGTTGTTAAATTTTAGATAGGATTTCTAATGATGAACCCGTTCGATTCTGGAATGTTTGAACATGGTGTATTGAGTATGGCATGTTATCCTTCTCTTGGAATGTTGGGCTTCTTTTGCTTATGTTTTATTTAAAGTGTCCATAGTTCTGTCCATAAGTGAGAGTCTTCTGGGAGTTTTGTGCAGACATTGGTGACATGGGTGCTGGGCTCATAGCATAAGCCCTGGAAGATGGTACATAACCGGAGTCATCTATCCCACCGTCGCTGCTAGGGGTGGGGACCCTTCAGGTTGATAGGAACATTAAAAGGACGGGGTCCTGGGACGCCTGGGTGGCTCAGTGGTTGGGCACCTGCCTTTGGCCCAGGTCGTGATCCTGGGATCCAGGATCGAGTCCTGCATCGGGCTCCCTGTGAGGAGCCTGCTTCTCCTTCTGTCTGTGTTTCTGTCTCTCTCTCTGTGTCTTCGTGTCTCTCATGAATAAATCTTTAAAAACAAAAAAATAAAAGGACAAGATCCTGAGCTTGAGCTCCACGGTGGGTGTAAAGATTACTAAAAAAAAAAAAAAAAAAAAAAAGTTATGAGGACATCAGCTTTGCTCTCCACCCCACTTGGTGTTTTCAGAGTGGAATTTGAACGTACAATGCTTTCTTTTTCTTTACACCGTGAGACCCTTAGCAGATACCATCCTGCCTCACCTTTTTCCTTAAAAGTGTTGTCGGGCTCCCTAGCGGTGGTGGGCTTCCACTTTCTCCTGGCTTATGCACAGCCCCGTGGACTTCACTACAGGGAGGCAGGGAGCGTGTTTGTGGGACAGAGCCTTACAGGTGACACCTCTGCGGCGGCCCTCTGCTCCCCTCCCACCCAAGCCTTGACCCAGGGAAAGCTTTGGACGTCCCCCCCACCCCCTGGCCCCACTGTGTCTGTGTCCTGCCAGGCTGGCAGGCCCTCTCTGCACAACCACCCAGCTCCTGTCTGCAGGAAGTAGCATGCTGCGGCTTCCCTGAGGGCTGGGCCCACGGGGAATCCCATTCTGGCCCCAGCTCCTGGATTCCATGTGTCCAGCCGGTGAAATGTCCCTCCTCCATCGTGCCAGTGCCACAACCTGCACCGCGAGCTGTGCTGTGCCAGGAGTAGTGCAGGCCAAACGGCCATGGCTCTGGGGCCCAGTTGTGCTTCCTCAGCTTGCCTGGCAGCCTGCGTGGGCTGGGGCCTGTGCGGGCAGGGAGGGGGAGCCCACTGTGGAAAACTCCACCTTCTGGCACAGCCTCCCTGGGGGTTTGCTGGAGGCCCAGCCCCCCATTGATTCTGGTTCTCTGCGGGTTCTGAGCTTTGGGCCTCGGGGCTGACGCCCAGGTCGGGGGTGGCCAACTTGTTGCTATTTAGGGGCCCGCTCACCGCTCCTCTCTCCTGCTTCCCGTTTCAGGGCTTGGTTATGATCCGTACAACCCCGAGCTGCCCAAGCCCCCCGTGCAGAGGGAGAATGGAGCCCTGGGCAGAGGGGACGAGCCCCGCTCAGACATCCTGGAGCTGGAGCTGGTCAATCAGGCCATCGAGGCCGTGCGCTCTGAGGTGGAGCTTGAGCAGCGGCGGTACCAGGAGCTCCTGGAGACGACCCGTGAGCACAGCTCAGCCGAAGCCCCCGCCGTGGCACCGCGAGGCCCCACCACTTGTTCCGCCGCTGGCCTGGATGAGGACGCCTTCCCGCTGTCCTTCGATTACAACCCTGGCGGCCGCCCCGGCCTGTCGAGCCCTGATGCCAGCTACCAGCCCACCCCTCTGGCCACTGCTGCCGAGGCAGGCAGCAAGTACTCACTGGCCTCTCTGGATCGGGCGCAGGGCCATGGTGGGGGGGGTGGCAGTGCCCTGGAGTACGTCCCCAAGGCTGTGAGCCAGCCCCAGCGATATGGCCGCCCCATCCCCAGCAGCAAGTATGTGTTGGATGACTCCAAGCCGTCCACAGACCTGGAGTATGACCCTCTGTCCAACTTCTCTGCCCGGCTGCTCAGCAGAGCCAGTTCTAAGGATGACAGGGCCCCCAAGAGGCCCAGGGGCTCCCGGGGCAGCGAACCCTACACGCCTGCCCTCAAGAAGCCCTGCGACCCCTTCGCCGGCTGCGATGCCAGGTTCTCAGACTCAGATGATGATGCCGCCGCGGCTCCAGTGGACGGGCCCATCACCACCAGCCCCCCCAGGGCCCAGTCGGGCACCGAGACCAAGGCCCCTGGGCAGCCCGGCTCCAGGGAGGGCCAAGACACTGAGGAGGGTGGCCTGCGGGAGACCAAGGAGATGGCAGTGCAGTATGACGTGGAGGACCTCGGGCAGCCCCCCAAGGCTCCTGCTGGGGCGCCTGTGGCCAAGCCCAGCTCGCCCGCCAAGGCCACCCGGGAGCCTGGCGGCCCCAAGCAGGGAAGACCCAAGAAGAAGAAAAGTGGGGCACTGCCTGTCACCACCCATAAGGACAGCGCCCGGAAGAAGGACAAAGGCAGAGACGGAGAGCACGGGAGGCCGGCCGGGAAGCCCGGGGCAGACCGGAGGGGCCCGCAGGCCGGCAGCCCCCGGCATAGGGCTGAGCAGCCCGAAGGGACCAAGAAAAAGCCATCTTCGGCCACCCCAGTGGCCAGCTCAGGGAAAAGCCGGCCCGACCGCGGGGGTGCCCACCAGCTGCCAGTCAGGACAGGTGGGAAGACCCCATCTGGGAAGCTGGCCGAGCGGAAGGCCCGCTCGCTGGATGAGGGTGCCTCCCGGGATGCCCCTAAGCTGCAGAAGCGGGCACTGAGCCACGCAGACCTCTTCGGGGACGAGAGCGAAGACGAGGGCCCCGGGCCCACAGCGCCCCCCGTCCCGCCCCACCTCAGCTCCGACTCCGACTCCGACTCCGACAGCAGCCTGGGCAGCTCAGCGGCTCAGGGGCCCCGGAAGCGCCTCAAGGCCCCTCCGCCTGCCCAGCCCACCCCCGCCCCCACCCCCACTCCCGCCCCTGCCTCACCCTCCTCCTCCTCCTCCTCCTCCTCCTCCTCCTCCTCCTCCTCCTCCTCCTCTGAGGCCGGTGAGAGTGTGGACTACTCGGCTCTGGAGAAGGAGGTTGACTTCGACTCCGACCCCATGGAGGAGTGTCTGCGCATCTTCAATGAGTCCACCAGCGTCAAGACGGAGGACAGGGGCCGGCTAGCCCGGCAGGTGAGCCCCCTGCCCAGGGCTTGCGGCCTCTGTGGGGGTGCTCCCCTCCTACGGTCAGGAGCCCTTGGGGGCTGCATGCTGTGTGCCATCCCCCCTCCCACCCTTGTCCACTGCCAGGACCCTGAGGCCCACCCAGCAGGGTCCCGCAGTGGTGTTCTGCCTCTCCCCCTTCTCTCTCCCCTCCCTTCCCCATCCCCCCCACACCCACTGTCCAGTGCCCCCATGTCGGCCACCAGAGGGAGCTTGTGTTCGACAGAGCCCGCCGTGCTGGTCCCTGCTCTGAAACCCACATCTCATGTGAGGGTTGCAAGGTCCCGCCTGGGGTGCTCTGTCCTTTACTGCCCTGCTCCGTTCACAGACCTTTGAGGTGTGGCCGGTCAGATCTCTGCACCCTGTTCTCCCATTCTGCGTTTCTGAGCTGCCCCATGTGAGCGGGTGAGGGAGAGGAACCCGAGGCAGTGGTCTGGGCTTGAGACCGTGTTGCCCTCAGGGCTGGGGTGTGTCTGCAAGAGATGCAGGGGGTCCTGTCTCCTCACCTGCGAGCGTGCGGGGTGCGCCCCCTGGCTGGAGGTGAGGGTCCCACATCATCTCTTTCAAGACCTGGGAGCCCCTTCCTTGATTGCGTTCCTGCCTTTCCATCTCACTGCATCTAGGCTCTCGGTGGTTGGTGGTTGGAGCAGCCCAGAGGAGCCCGAGACGGGTGTGGGAGGAGAGGCGAGGCCCGAGGGAGGGAGCCTCATTGAGGGTTGGATGTGTTTCAGCCCCCTAAGGAAGACAAGAGCGAAGACAAGGGTCATTCTGCTCTGACTACTCTGTTCCCTGGGCAGAAGAGGAGAATTTCTCATCTCTCCAAGCAAGGCAAGGAGGTCAGTCTGCCTTTGGGTCCCCAGGGGAGGCTGGCAGGGCAGGGAAGGCCCCCGTCTGCAGAATCAGATCCCTGTGTCCCTCTGCCCATGAGCACACATACACCCGGCACTCCTGTGTCCTGGCACTGAAGTGTGTGGAGCCCACCTCCGGTCTTCGAGCTGTGCTCCCTGCTGGGGGGAAGCGGGGCACAGAGCAGGGAGGGCCCCCTAGGGGACGGGCCCAGCGCTGGCTGTGAGGTGTGCTGTGTGGTCGCAGGCACAGGCCCAACCTTTCTGAGCCTTGGTTTCCACCCTGAAGACAGGAGCAGATGTTGGTGGCTGAGGCGAGCAAGCATAGGGGAAGGCATAGGGGAATACGGGTAGAGGGCGGGCTCCTGGCCAAGCACCTGGGAGCTTTGCTTGATCCAATCGCCAGACCCCTCCCCTGGTGAGGCTGGAGGCTGGAGGTGATTGAATCAAGCGTGATTGGATTGGCGTGCCAATCCAATCAGGGGGCCCAAGGATTCCCACCCACATAGTGGCTGTGCCTATATCAGGGCCAAGGGCACGGCCTGGGCATTCTGAAGGCAGCAGCCAAGAGAGCAGGACCACGGAGGTGCCCTGGGACAGCGAGGCAACATGAGTTTGAGGGCTAACCTGCCGAGCTCGGTTCCTGCCAGGGTATCCAGGAACTCAGAGGAGGGCGCCAGGGCAGCCCACTCTGCCGTGGCTCCGGCGCCCCTGCCCTCCTGCCTGCTCTGTCAGCCTTCGGGCCTACGTGGTCTGCTCTGGGTGCCCCCAGCATACGACCCCAGCCGGGAATTTGTTATCACTCAGGCAGAGCCGGTGAGGAAAGGCCCAGCACCCCCTGCCCGGCCTCCCACTGCCCAGGAGGTGTGCTATCGGCGGGCCCAGCAGGCCCAGAGGGACTCAGCCACCTGGCTCCAGGCTGCCCAGCAGCCAACAGAGAAGCCATCCTCCATCCACATCTCAGCTCCTGGTGAGAAGAGGAGGATCGCCCATGTCCCCAACCCCCGCTTGGCTGCAGGTGAGTCCCAGGGCACAGGGGCTCGGGAGCGACAGGAGGGACCCCAGGCCGGGCTCCGCTTCTGCCAGCGATGGTGGCCTGGCTGGGGCCTTAGTGTGCTTGTCTGTGACATGGGGATAAACGTCTCTCCGACAGTTAGCAGGAGGCCAAGTCAGGCCTGGTGCAGTGCCCAGCGGCTCTGGGCCTTTCCTGGCTTTGGTGCTGGGAGTGGGCGGCTGGCTGAGAGTCTGGGGATGTCTTCCTGTCTTCCTCCCATCCCTTGTCTATCTGGAAGACCCAGAGCCTCCCTCAGAGGCCCTGACCCAGAAGCCTCCCTGTGACTCTCCCTCTGTCCCTGGTCTTTGTGTCCTTGCCTCCCCCGGACTCCTGGGGTATTGGAGGCGGGTGGCCTGGTGGGGGCCAGTCTGAGTGTGGGCACCGGGCTCTAGACGGTGATGCCAGGAACAGGGAGCTGGCCTCCGGGTGGTGTGTGGGGACAGGCACCAGGCTCCTGCCCAAAGCTGGTGTCAGGGAGGCTTTCAGCTCATCGGGAGGGGGTCGGGCTAGATCATGATGCCCTGCTGCTCTGAGGGGCACCTTCCCCCACTAGGGAAGCCGGGTCATGCCTCTGCTGTCTGACGGGTGAGAGTCTCTAAGGCAGCCGCCTCTGGAACGGAGGAGATGTTGGCAGGGTGGGGGGGTGGGCTTGTTCACATGTAGAGTCAGCCTCACTTGGAGAGGCCCCTGCCTCCTGATCGGCTCCCAGGGGCCTCCCTTGCTGTTGGTTTAAACGTTCCCTTGAGTAACTGGCCCGACAAGGCTGTCCCACAAATGCAGGCATCTGCAGCCACTCCCCCCCCCCCCCCCCCACTTTTCCCTGGTGCCAAGAACCTTCTTCAGGATAAGCTGTCTGCGTTCTGACCTTCCCCTCCCTGGAGCTCCTGCCTTAGAACTCAATGGCTAGAGGTGTTGGCTAAGGGGCTTTAGCAGCGGCCAAGGGAAAAGGGCCCTGAACCGTGTGGATCCTTGGACACGGCTCTCACAAACCCACAGCTTCTGCCTGCAATCGGGTCTCGCGGGTTGTCGATGGCCTGGGGCAGCCCTGGCACAGCCCTGGCACACTGCTCGCTGTGCCCACGGCGGGTGGCATCAGCCGCAGGTGGTCCAGTATCCATAGGCACTGTGGCGGCCTCCCCAAGCGACAGGGGGACTCACCTGAGGTCTGGACAGTCCCGTCCGAAGCTCATACTGGCTTTCCTTTCCACGTGTGCCCCGAGTGCTGCGTGGGAAGTCTGAATGAATCTAAAAGCTGTCTCTCCTTACTGAAAAGCTCACGTGTCTGCCCCATCAGCAGAGGCTGCCCCAGTGTGGGCTGAGCCGCGCCAGCCTGCGTGCCGTTGTCCTCCCGGGAGGCCGGGGTCGGGGCCCTCTGCTCTCCATCTGTTCCCCTTCTTTGGGCAGGGTGGGGCCCAGGAGCGGGGCTGGCCAGAAGCCCCAAGCTCACGCAGGCGTGCGCCCCCCCCACCGCCTCCCCTAGTCCCTGCCGCCTGCCCCGGAGCCCTTGGAAACGGCCCCACAGGCAGGCACCCTCTTCCCTGGGGGGCGGGAGACTGTTTGGTTTGTGACCTCATCAAAGGGAACACAGGCAGCAGTGGGCAGGCCGGCTGGTCACAATGACCGGGCCGGGGGGGGGGGAGGGCATCCTATACCCTCTGGTCCTCAGCCCAGGAGCCAGGGCCTTTCCTCCCTCCTGCGTCAATGCCTCGGAGTTGGGGGCCGGAACATGTGGCAAAGGCTCCACCCGTGCCCTGCCACTCGCCGGACCACCCCGGCGGCGACGTTGCCTGAGCCGGCCTCCGGAGCCCCATTTGTGTTTCCCCCTTCTCAATGGACTTGCCCGAAAGCAGATAGAGCCTAATGTCATTCCATAGCCCGTGCCCCCCAGCCCAGCCCTTCCCCCTGTGCTCCGAGATGCACGTCCTGCTGACGCTCAATGACCGCGGCTGCTTGGTGCTCTGCAGCTCAGTGATGGGCGTGCTCTCCTCCTGCACTCACATGCCCTGTGCCCCACCAGCCCCCACAGGTGCCAAGAGGACCCTCGCCGCCAGCAGCAGCCAGCCTCCCAATGGCCCCGAGCCAGGCAGCCAGCCCCTGAAGGCCCGCACGTTGTCAGGCATGGCGTCCAAGACCACCACCACCGTCACCCCCAAGCGCGTTGCCCACAGCCCATCTTTACAGGTGAGCATCCCCCTCCCTGCAGCTCGCTGGCACCCTCCCCGCTCCCTCCGCTCTTCTGTTCATTAAGGAATTCATCCCTGGGGCAGTGTCTGTTCGGAGAGAGCAGGGGGCACAGGTGCCATGTACGCCACCCTGCCTGCCCTTGGTTCCCCTCTGGTCGACACCGCTGTGGTGGTCTGTTGGCCCTGATGAGCCAGTGGTAGCCCTCACGGGCACCGAAGCCCAGAGTTTCCGGCGGGGTCCACCATGTGTGTGTTGTAGCCTGTGTGTTCTGAGAAATGCATCAGAGGACCAGGCAGGGCTGTGCCACCTCCGATGGCTCTGTGTCATCCCTAGAGTTTAAAGAAGCCCATTATTCCGAAAGAGTTCGGGGGCAAAGTCCCCACGGTCATCCGCCAGCGGTATCTGAACTTGTTCATTGAGGAATGCCTCAAGTTCTGCTCTTCAAACCAGGAAGCCATAGAGAAGGTGCGTGACCCTGGCGGGTGGCTGCTGGTCAGCTGAGGAGGCCACGGCTGTCCCAAGTTCGGGGGCGGCCAGGCCCGGGGCCCCCAGGCTGAGCAGTGTGCCGTCCTCAGGCGCTGAACGAGGAGAAGGTGGCCTATGACCGCAGTCCCAGCAAGAACATCTACTTGAACGTCGCTGTGAACACCCTCAAGAAGCTGCGGGGCCTGGTCCCCAGCTCCGTGCCTGGTCTCAACAGTAAGTCAGACCGGGGGGGTGGCCGGGGCATTAATGTCTGGAAGAGTCGGGTTTGTGCCTCTAGCAGGGGGCCCAGGGCTGCACGGGTGGCTGGGGACCACTCTCCCCCAGGCCGTGGGGCCCTGGCCAGCCGGCTTTCTACCGCTCGGAGCGCGGGGAGGCTCTCAGACAAAAAGGTGGGTGCTGGCTCCTGGTCGGCGGGCTTCCATGGAAGGTGGTGTCCGCCCCACACCCTCACTCCTGCATCTTCTCGCTCTTAACCGCCCTCCTTAGCGAGCTGGCTCTCCCGAGCCGGGGGCCGCCTGCTAATGGGGAGGCCTCTTGAAAGGCGAAGCTCGCCCAGCCTGCTGCGTGCATTCAGCTCCGGGAGGACGCGTCATTACTGCCTCTTGAAGGCACATTAAGCCGCCAGTGCGCACACTTCCCTGCTCCCGCCTGGGCCCCCACAGCTCCTCCTGGGAGGCTTCCACGGAGCCCCTGGAAGGCCCCTTGACCTACGTGCCCTGGGGCTTCTGGCAACCAGCAGCCAGTCCCCAAAAAGCTTAGGCGGGGGCAGGGTGACTGCCCAAGGTCACAGGCAGTCTCGCCTCTCTGACAGGGTGGTGAGGAGCTGGCCAGGGGACAGGTCACCACGGAGGGCGGGAGTGCACTCAGGAGGGACGAAGGAGTCTGAGCATGGCTTACTGTCCCCCCACTTCCAGAAACCAGCGGCCGGAGGGTCGTGTCCCATGAGATGGTGCTGGGGGGCAAGTTGGCCACCAAAACCAGCTTCTCGCTCAGCCGCCCGAGTAGCCCCCGGGTGGAAGATCTGAAAGGTGAGCCTGGTCCCTGCAGCCGTCCAGCCAGGCCCTCCCCCTGCTTAGCTGTCTGTGGCCTTGCTGCGGGCTTACTACGTGTCCGGTTGTCCCCAGGGGCCGCCCTGTACGGCCGCCTCAAGGAGTACCTGCTCACGGAGGACCAGCTCAAGGAGAATGGGTACCCCTTCCCACACCCCGAGCGGCCAGGGGGCGCCGTCATCTTCACGGCTGAGGAGAAGAAGCCCAAGGACTGTGAGTGGACTGTGCCCCCCTGCTTGCGGAGGGCCGTCTGGGCAGGGGGAGTGTGCCGTGAGGCGGGGCGCAGCCCAGGGTGGGGGTTCAGGGCCTGATGCCCCCACGCCGCCCCACAGCCTCCTGCAGAATCTGCTGCCGGTGTGGCAGTGAGTACCTCGTGTCCACGTCGGGCCGCTGCGTGCGCGAGGAGGAGTGCTACTACCACTGGGGGCGGCTCCGCCGGAACCGAGGTGAGCCCTCTCTGCAGACACCACACCCCACAACCTCCCCGCCGACTCCTGGTCAGGCTGAGGCTGTCCCTTTGCACCAACACTGGTCGGTTTTCTTTCTGCGTGTCCTCTCCCTTCCTAAGCCGTGTCCCAGCGTGGATGGTGGGGAGGCCCCCCCACAACCCCCAGCCCCCACGCACCCTGGCTCCCACCCTTGCAGGCCACGTGGTGTGCTCCCCCTTGCAGGCCGCCTGCTGCCCACTGGTGGGTGTGCCAGGGTCCCCCCCCATCCCCGAGACACATGTGTCCTTGCTGCCACACCGGGGGAGGGCCCCTCCTCCGGGGTCCCGAATCCTCATTCCCTCAGGGGCCCTGGTGCCCCCCAGGAGAGGAGGAGAGGAGGCTGTAGATGCCCGCCTCACAGGGGCCACCCCTCCTCTGCTGAGAAGCCCCTGCCCCAGCACATCAGGTGCCACGATTGTGCGTGGGAGGCGTGGGACTGGGCTGCTGGGGGCCGGGCCCTGACCTCCTCCTCCCTTTCAGTGGCTGGCGGCTGGGAGACTCAGTACACGTGCTGCTCGGCTGCCATCGGCTCCACTGGCTGTCAGGTCGCCAAGGTAGGTCTCCGGGGCCCTGCTCCCCCGCCTGGGGAGCACCCCCGGCCTGGCTGGAAATGAGGTGCAGCCTGGGCCAGAGCCCGCATCCCCCTTTCCTGTCCTTTGATCCGTGTGCCTCTGATGGCGGCCTTAGGAACAGTGGGGCGTCCCCCAGAAACCACCCGCCCCCCGCCCGCCAGCCTCACGGGCCTTCACCGCTCTGCTCGCAGCAACACGTGCAGGACGGCCGGAAGGAAAACCTCGAAGGCTTTGTGAAGACTTTCGATAAAGAACTTTCAGGAGACGCCCACCCGGGGATTTACGCCCTTGACTGTGAAATGGTGAGTTGAGCGCCGTGTGCACTCAGTGGTGGCCGGGCGCCTGCACCTGCAGCTTGGAGCCGGCGTGGGTCTCAGGATAGAGCAGGTGAGGGGAAGAGCCGCGGACCACGGTGGGGTGCTGGCCTCCCTCGTGCCTCAGGTTGTGTCTGGCTGCCATGCCGGCGTCCTCTGAAAGCGAGCTTTTCTCCCACCGCCGAGTAGAAGCTCTCGTCTCACCCCTTGGCACACCAGGCACACCGTGCGACACAGCCAAGGTCCTCGGGACTGGCTTGCAAACCAGGGGGCTGTTGGGGCTTTGTGAGGGCACCGCGGGTTCGTGCCCAGCCCCGCTCCCACAGAAGGCCTGGAGCTCCCTGGGGCTCGGGGTGCAGGGTGTCTGGCCCGTGGTCCTGGGGGCCGGTGGGGGGCGGAGGGGCATGTGGTCACCTGACCCCTCCTGGCCTGCAGTCCTACACCACGTATGGCCTGGAGCTGACGCGTGTCACGGTGGTGGACACGGACATGCAGGTGGTTTACGACACCTTCGTCAAGCCGGACAATGAAATTGTTGACTACAACACCAGGTGCGGCCCCGACCCCCCACTCCCTGCCCCAGCTCCCAGGGTGGGAACCCCAGATTTGCCTCCCTAGCTACCCTCAGGGCCCCTGCTCTACCCGCCCCAGGTTTTCAGGGGTGACTGAGGCTGACCTCGCCGACACGAGCATCTCGCTCCGGGACGTCCAGGCTGTCCTGCTGAGCATGTTCAGCGCCGACACCGTCCTCATCGGACACAGCCTGGAGAGTGACCTGCTGGCCTTGAAGGTACTGCCATCCCCAGGCTCTGCTTGCCTGGGGTCCTTGGAGGGAGGACACTGGGAGCTGGGTGGGCTGAGCCCCGGGCACCTTCCTACCCCCGCCCCCTGGGGCCCTGGCCCCCGCGGTCTCTGCCCAGCCTCTCGCCCACAGGTCATCCACAGCACCGTGGTGGACACGTCTGTGCTCTTCCCGCACCGCCTGGGCCTCCCCTACAAGCGCTCCCTGCGGAACCTCATGGCTGACTACCTCAGACAGATCATCCAGGACAACGGTGAGCAGGGGGCGGTGGCGAGCAGGGGCAGCGGGGCCCGGGGGCGGGGTGCACCCACGCCAACACATCCCCCACCCACTCTGCCCCACAGTGGACGGGCACAGCTCCAGCGAGGACGCCAGCGCCTGCATGCACCTGGTGATCTGGAAGATCCGAGAAGACGCCAAGACCAAGCGGTGACCGCTGCCGCCTGCCCGCCTTCCCCGCAGCCCCGGCCCGGCCTCTACCCCAGGCCTCTTCCAAAACAGTGCAATAAATCTCGAGAGCTAACCCTGTCCACGTCGCCGAGACATGGAAACAGAGAGAGCGGGAGGAGCCGGCGGCCGAGTGCCCACGCCGAGACCACCTGGAGCCCTGACCCCACCCGGCCCCCTGCGCCGCCCCGCCTCTCTGCCCCCGACTTCTGTCCTCTGGAGACTGCTGCTGATGCCCCATGAGGCTGGGCCAGACCCCACCTGGCACCCAGTGGGCCCTGCTGAGTCCCCGGCAGCCAGGCCTCCCGCTCCGGCCCCTTCTGCCGGGCAGGCTTTTCGTGGGTGTGTTTGAGACAGGGGTTTCTTTTTTTTTATTTTGTATTGTTATTTTTATTATTTGTAATTTAAATCTGACGACTACTCGACTACTCGCACAGTTGTCTTTCCCCAGCTGGAGAAGCCCTGGTGCTGCCTTCCCTGTGGGGGGTGGGGCAGGGGGGAGGAGTTGGAGGGCCGGGAGCCGACAGCTGGCACCTTGGCAGCCACCAGGACCGAGAGTCCAGCCCGGCCTGGGCCGGACGGGTGGGAACTGGCCTCCCCAAACCCACCTGGACTCCGTGACCTCTGGGAACCAAGCCAGCCCCCCTGCCCCCCACCCCCAGGGCCTCGCCTTCCGGACCCCTCCAGGGCCCATCAGCCTCTGGACCCTGTCTTCCTGCCAGAGCCCCGCCCTCCCCCAGGGGCTGTCTGTAAAGGCCTGCAGCCCCCCTAGGGCCCTGAGCCCCGAGCCCCAACCCGAGGCAGGGACGGAATAAATGTTTGTATGGATTTTAGCTCCCTGGCGTCGGGTGGTGTTCTTGTGCCAGACGAGGCCCCATGCAGGCTGTCCCTGTGGTCAGGACGTGCCCTGACCTCCGTCGGTGCCTGAGCAGTGCCGGGACCTGCCACCCTGGCCCAGGGGTGCTCTGGGCCCTAGAGCTCTGGGCGGTCTGGGTGTGGGGCGTGTCACGCTCTGGCCCCCGTTGGGTACAGTGATGGTGGGGGCAGTACCCAAGTCCTGTGAGGCAGGGGGTTTGCGCCCGGCGGGGGCGGGGTGGGGTGAGGAGTCCCAGAGAGCCACACCTGTGCAATGCACGTCTGAGAAGCTACCACAGAAAGGGAAGGGTGGCCCCCGCCCGCCGTGCCCCGGCCTGCAGCTCCCAGGAGGTGCTGCTGTGCATCGCGCCCAGCCTGGGCGCCTCGGAATCGGCTGCCTTGTGAATGTGCCTCTCGGGGGTGGAAGGGCCGGGGCTGTTCAGCTGTCCACCTTTGGTTCATTTAAAATGCAAAGTGAAGCCAGAAATAACCTCACGGAGGGAGGGGCTGGCGCTGGAGTCCCTGGGTCTGGAGGCAGGAACACAAAGGTGCTGGCAGGAGGGCTGCCCGGAGGAGGCCCGTGTCAGGCTTCTGCCGAAGGCCTGGAGAGCAGGGTCCCAGGCTGAGGACACAGCAGCCTCTACCCCCGAGGTGTCCTGGGCCAGCACTGCAGAGGACTGGTTGCCCTCTGGATCCTGGGGGCCCCGGGGGGCAAGTGTCGACCAGCCACTGTTGTGCTCTTGTGACCATTGGAGTTTCTCCCACCTCTTCTGAAAACAAGTAGTAGTTTCCTAAATAAATGGTGCAGGCCTGTTTCTGTGGGGTTTCTGTTTCTTTTTAGAGAGAGGGACCAGAGTGAGAGGGAGAGAATCTCAAGCAGGCTCCATGACCCACGTGGAGCGCGACACAGGACTGATCCCACGCCCCTGAGATCCTGTCCCGAGCTGAGATCAAGAGTCGGGTGCTTCACCGACCCAGGCGCCCCCGGTTTCCGTGATCCTGGTGGTGTCTCCTTCCTCCCCAGAGCTGAACGAGCCCCCGGGGAGGCCCTGAGAATGGTTGCCAGCTTCTAGCTGGCCAGATGCTGACTCTTGGAGGCTGCAGGGCCTTTGCACATCCTGGGGACGGGATGGGGTCTGCAGGCCCCTCCTCATGGCCAGTCCTGGCAAAATTAGAACAATTTGTGCAAGCCCTCCTCTGTCATCCGGGACACCCGTGGATAGGCGCTGGATGTGTGCTCGGTGATTGAATAAGAGGCCTACCTGCCCCCCTCCTCCCCAGGCCCAGGAAGGTGTGTGGAGTGGGAGGTGGCTGCCCTGTTGGGGGGGTCACATCCTGTGTGCCGCCCTCACCACACCAGCACTCACTCATTCGTTCATTCACCCAGCATTTGCTCACAGGTGTCGCCAGGCAGCCGGGCGTCTGGGGCTTGGCACGGGGGGCAGGTACCAGGTCCGCTGGCTTAGAAACAGGCTAGAGGGAGGGGTCCCAGGGCCCAGAGGGAAGGGTGGTGAGGGTGGGGAAGCCCAGAACCAACCACCTTCCTAATTTCCACACTCCAGACCGTGTCTAAAAGTGAAAATATGAAAGGCAGCGCTCAATCACCACTTCTGTCGCCCAAGTTTGCCCCTCCCCTTGAACCCCACTCCGGGGGCCCTAGCGTCAGCAGCCGCTCCCACATACCCCCGCCCTGGCTCCCGCCTCGGCCATGGCCCCGCTGCACGGCTGTCTCCCACCCCTGTCACCTTCAGGGAGACTCCCAGAGCCCTGGCCGCCCGCTGGGTGGACACACACCCGTCCAGCACCCCGTGGGCTTCCGCTAACGCCTCCCCCGCCCTGCGCCCAACACTACACCTGCGCATAGAAGGTGCTCCCTTAGCAGGTACAGGACGGCACGCAGCTTGCGCTTGTGATGCCTGTGCGCCCTTCCCGTGTTCCCAGCCCCACTCCGGCCCTCCGCAACCCTGGCTAGGTCCAACCCGCCCTACCGAGGCCCTGCTCCTAAATCATGGTCCCCTTAGTCCCCTGGCCCGGACAGAGGCCCTCTCATCCGGCCGGCCCACTGACCCTCCCCAGCCCCAGCCTGGCCCCACCTTGACACCCCTCCGCTCCGTGCGAAGCGCCCACCCTAGATCGGGGCCCACCCTCGGCTGGGCACACCTCTGCAGAGACCTCCTCCCCAGGCTCCACCTCTGCCACGCCCCCACCCCCGGCCTTCTCCGGAAGGCCCCGCCCCTTCCCGCCCCTTCCCGCCCCTTCCCGCCCCTCGGGCACTATTTACAGAACCTGCCCCTAGCGCAGCCCCGGCTCAGGGCTCCGCCCCCCGGGCCTGCCGGCCCTGGGGGGTCCCGCCCCCCACCACCACCCCGGACCCGCCTGTTTCAATTCACAAGACCCCACCCCCAGAGCTGCCCTGGCCCCACCCACATTCCGCCTTCTGGCCCCGGCCCCGCCCCTCGGGCGCGTCACGTCACAGGCCACGCCCACATAACAGCCCCGCCCACCGCCCCGCCCATCTCGAAGAGGCCCCGCCCCCACCCTCCTGGCCCCGCCCCCGGCCCCGCCCCGCGCCGCCCGTTTCAGGCCGGTTGGCTCGGGGCCAACAGCTGCGCCGCGCGCCCCGCCCCGGCCGCCCGCGGACCCCCGCCCCGGCCCGCGCCAGTGAGCGGCGGCGCTCCCGCTGCTGTGCGTCCCCCGGCGCCCGCGCACCCTCTCTGGACTCCGCCCAGCCTGAGGGCGTGAGGTCGCGGCGGCCTCCGTGGGGCGTCGCCGGAGGTTTGCGCGGGGCGCAGTCCGCGGAGCGCCGCCGCCCCGGGGTCCCGGGGTCCCGGGGGAACCGTCTGGGCCGCCGCCGCCGCGGGATGCTCGAGACTTGTGGTGAGCCGAGTGGGAGGAAGGGGACGTCCTCCTGCCCCACCTGAACTTGGGGTGGACCCTGGCCACGGGGCGTTCCCCCGACCCATCTGCCCCGCGGGGCCTCCCCGGGCCCTGGGTCCCGCTCACCCCGAGCCTCGCTTGTCCTCGTCTGGCGAATGGGCGCTGAGCCAGGCCCGCCCCCTCGGGGCCTGGGGACTCGGTGCCCTGAGCCGCCTGCCATCTCCGCGCCGCGCGCTCCGGACTCCAGCTCGCAGCTCAGACAGGGAGAGAAGCAGAGCGGAGAGGGGGGATCCGAGCTGGGATGGGGGACGCCGCAGGGAGAGGGGGAGCCCGGAGGAGGCACGGGGACCAGCGGGCCCGGTCTGAGAAGTATGAGCTGAGAGCAGAAGGGTGAGGAGGCGCCCACCCGCTGCGGCGAGGCTGCTCCTGGTGGAGGGCACCGCGGGTCAGGGGCTCGGGGTGGGGGCCGGGGCCCCGGGGGAGCTGCTGCAGGAGGCTCAGGTTCCTGCGCCTACGGCCAGAGTCTGAGTCCGGCCTGAGCTGGATGGTGGGAGGTTCCAGGCTCCAGAGAAGGTGTGGTGTCCGCCCCCTGTCCCCCCCCCCCCCCCCCCGCCGTGGTTGGCTGCCCCAAGACCATGCTTAGGCCTCCCACACACCCTCCAGATCCGACATAGAATCTGGGGGCCCCCCTTAGTCAGCAAACACGCATCAAGCCCCTAAGTGGGCCTGGCATCGGGGATTGGGGCAGGAGACGGTGGCAGGACCACCCCGGAGGACCACCCGGAGGAGGTGGGCGCGGGCATCCCAGGGGAGGGGGCGGGGTGGGAGTAGTGGCCTGAGAAGAGCCTTCATCCAGGGGTTGGGCTTTAATGGGGAAGACAAGGCAACCGTCAGTTGCTAACTTGGGGGCTGCTGATGTGAGCCCCTTGTGGGCTCGGGGGTCAGCCTGGGACCCCCTGGGCCTGAGGACACCCAGAGGACCCAGCCAGTGGCGGGAACTTGAGCCCTGGGATGGGGCCACTGATGGACACGGGAGGTGACATTTTAGAGGGTCTGCTCTCAGGTGTGAGTTCCCGGAGGGCAGAGAATTGGACGATGGGGACCAGCAAGGGCTGGGCCCCCATGTGACCTTGCTCCCCCCACCCCAGCCCCACCAGCATGGGCAGTCTCCGCTACCAAGAGGACTTCGAGGAGGAGAAGAACTCAGGTGTGTGTCCTGGGTCCGGGAGGGGGGGGCGAAGGGGACCCCATGCAACGGGCCCAGTGTGGGCTCCTGTCGGGTTACACGTGTCCCCGGAGCTGATGGCTGAACGCTAGGTCAGGATTCGGGGCTTGGAGCCCATCCCCTTGGAGCCCGTCGCTGGGCCTCAGTTTATGCCTCTGCGGAGGGCACGGGTGAGAGTGGGTCTCCCAGAGCCTGTTCTCTTAGCCCAGGGATGGGCCCGGGGTGGCGGGCGAGGGGTCACCCCATGGATTCCGGCGGGCTCCCTGCAGGGGGGCCGGGGGGCCGTGCCGCTTGTTTACCGGCTGCCTGGCCTCGAGCCGAGCGTCTCCAGCGCTGGGTCCCCTGGGCCACCCGCCGTCCTCTGGGGCGTCGTTAGCCCGAGTGTGCCCGCGGCCGTGCGCGATGCCTGCCGTGTCCGCCGCAGCGTTCACCTGGGAGGTGCAGGCCAACAGCAGGTCCTACAACAGCCAGTTCAAGAAGAAGAGCTTCCTGTGCTGGCAGAAGAAGAAGCATCAGGTGGGCGCCCTGGGCCCGCGGCCGTGCTCCCCGCTTTCACCCCAGGACTGCGGCCTCGGGCTCAGCTCCCCCCACCCCGGCCCCGCGCCCGTTTGCGTTAGCATGAGTTAGTAAGGGCCCTGGAGAGCGCGGGGCGGCGACAGGGCTCTACCTCCAACCCATGCGTGTGTCATCCTGGGGGATACTGAGTCACGGCTCTGCCCCCTGAGTCTTCACGCCCGAGGGGGCTCAGAAATGCTGGCTACGGCTCGGCCTTCAGCGGGCACTCGGTGGACTCTGGCTCCAGACCTTGCACTCAGTGGGCGCTCAGTCAGTGCAGGTGGCAGCCGGAGGGCGGGCCGGGGCCGGTGGGCCCGGGCCTGCGGGCGATCTCATGCTGGCTTCCGTTCCAGAGCAACGTCATCTGCACGGCCAAGTACAACGTCTTTTCCTTCCTGCCCTTGAACCTGTATGAGCAGTTCCACCGCACGTCCAATCTCTACTTCCTCTTCATCATTGTTCTCCAGGTGTGGCGGGCTGGAGGCAGCGCCTACTCCAGGGAGCCCACCCTGACCATCCCTGCCCCAGCGCCCTGTAGACCCAGGGCAGTTTCCCTGGGCTGCGGTGCGCATGGTCAGCGGGTCCGTGGCTGGGGCCCGACGGCTCGGCCCAGGGCCTGGCACACAGGAGGGGCTCAGTGTTTGTTGAATGATGAAGGTGCAAGCGTGGCTCCTTTAGGCGCCAGCAGGACACGGTCCCCCCACCCCCGGGGGAGACAGTTTGGGACACAGGACCCGTGGCGCTAGCCCTTGCGGTGCTGACCCCAGGGCGAGGATGGAGCGGGGGTCAAGGGTGGTCTCCGAACTGCCTGGGTGGCCTGGGTGGGATGGGCAGGGCAGTGGTGCCGAGGTCCAGCCCTGGGCGGTTTCCAGAGCACCCGGACCCTCACCCAGCGTTGCCCTCTGTTCTGAGTAAAGATCCACTGAACCTTACTGAGCACCTACTGTGTGCAGGTCCCGTGCTAGGTGGTGGTGCTCAGACCTGAGGGATGACTGGAAGGCGTGGGGCTGGGGGGGGGGTGCTCTGTGAGAGGGACAAGGGACAGCCTGAGGAGGGAATGGACTTGGGCTGGGAGGGCTTCCTGGAGGAGGTGACATGGAGCTGGGCGGGGAAGGGAGGAGTGTGCTGGGGAGAAGTTTTGGGCAGTGAGGGGAACCAGAGGGACAGAAGGACAGAGGGACCAGAGGGACAGAGGGATAGAGGGACAAAGGGACTAGAGGGGACAGGGATAGAGGGGACCAGAGGGACAGAGGACCAAAGGGGACCGAGGGACAGGGGTGGTTGTCCCCACGTCTGGCGGAGAGGGGGCTGGGCAGCACGTGGACATGGGCCGCCAGGCTGAGAGGCTGGGGGTGGGGCGGGGCCAGGGCGGGGCGGGGCCAGGTGAGCGGCGGGGGCGGGGCCAGGTGAGCGGCGGGGGCGGGGCCGTCCGGCGGCCCCTGAGCCCCGCGGCCCCCCAGGGCTTCCCCGAGATCTCCACGCTGCCCTGGTTCACTCTGTTTGCGCCGCTGCTGTGCCTCCTCGTCATCCGGGCGGCCCGGGACCTGGTGGATGACATCGTAAGTGGGGGCGGGCGCGGACGGGGCCTGGCCCTTACCTGGGGGCCCGGGCGGGGCGGGGCGGGGCGGGGCGGGGCGGGGCCGTCCCGTCCCTCTGACCCGCCCCCTGTCAGCCCAGGGGCGACACAGGAGCGACAGGATCGTCAACAACAGGCCCTGCCAGATCCTGGTGGGGAAGAGGTGAGGCGCCGGCGGGGGGGGGGGGGGGGGGGGCGGGGCGTCCACCCGGGGCGCAGGGGCTCGGCGAGGGCGGGGGGCCGGAGTGGGGGTCAGCGAGGGCCGGCCCCCTGCACAGAGGGACCCTCTCGGCCCGTCCCCCCGCAGCTTCCTGTGGAAGAAATGGGCGAACCTGCGCGTGGGAGACCTGGTGTGCCTGCACAGAGACAGCGTGGTCCCGGTGAGCTGGCGGCTGGCTGGGGGGCGGCGCCCCGCTCCCCGCCCCCAACGCCGTTTCCCCCGCAGGCCGACCTGCTCCTGCTCGCCAGCACCGAGCCCAGCAGCCTGTGCTACGTGGAGACGGCGGACATCGACGGGTGAGCGCGACCTGGAGCGTCCCCCTGCGGCGGCGAGGTTGGGCCAGAGCCCGGAGGCCCCCCCGCCGCCCCCCCGCCGCTCACCGGCTCCCCGCTCCCCGTCCCGCCACCAGGGAGACCAACCTGAAGTTCAGGCAGGCGCCACCCATCACGCACCACGAGCTGACCAGCCCCCGCAAGATGGCATCGTTCCAAGGTGCCAGCTCCCACCTGCTGGGGGAGGCGGCTGGCCCCGGCCTGTTCCACGGCCCTCCGTCGCCCCGCGGTCACGCTCCCAGGGCTGCGTATTATCAGGCGACACGTTCCACGTATAAGATGCTGGAAGTTTGATTGAAAAGGCACCTGCGCGGCGGGCGGGAGGGCCGTGGGTGGCACCCGTGGGCACCCTAGTGTCCATCTGTCCACCGGGAGAGGCCCAATGTTCTCCTGGCCCGCTGTGAGGGGCAGTCGGTCTAGAGGGTTCCGGAGCAGAGTTCGCCCTGAGCCACGGCCCCCCTCCCGACACCCACGGACAGGTGCCCGTCTGTCACGCTACCCCGGGGGAAAGCCTCCCTGGTGTGGGGGGCAGCCTCCTCCCTCTGGGCCCCGACCTGCCCCAGCCGCCCCAGGTCCTGCAGGGCAAGGCCCCCGGTTCCAGAGCGGGGAGCAGGTCACAGAGGCGGCAGGAGACGCGGGCCGGCCCCTGGCTCTCCAGCCGGTCCAGCCGTGGGCAGCCCCCATGTGCACTTCCAGAAGGAACGCTGGCTCTGGGTCCCCCCGGGCCCGAGCCCCCACCTCGTCGTCATCCTCACCCTGCCCGTGGCCAGCCCGTGACCCCCTATTTTCTCAGACAGAGGAGGGCTGGACATGCCTGCTGCGCGGTGGGGGAAGGGCCTCTCCCGCCACCTGCTGGAACAGCCCGCGGTGCCCCCCGCATTTGTCCCCGTGGTCTCAGGGTGCCCGATGCCGGTGTGCTTCCCTTCCTCTCCACCTCAAGCGTTTGTTGAGCACCTGCTGGATGCCAGGTGCTGGCGAGGCCAAGGCGGACGTCAGGGACACCAGCACCCGAACAATGTCTAGGGACACCCGAGGGCCGAATCCACGAGCAAGGGGCCTGGGGGAGGGCTTCTGCGCGGAGGCGCGAGTCCTGGTGCCCGGAGGGGCCGGCCTTGGCGTGCCGGGGGGAGGCGGCCGGCCCTCAGCGCCCCGACCTCGCTTGCCCCCAGGCAAAGTGGTGTGTGAAGAGCCCAACAGCCGGCTGCACCACTTCGTGGGGTGCTTGGAGTGGAAGGGCAGGAAGCACCCCCTGGACAGCGGCAACCTGCTGCTGCGCGGCTGCAAGGTCCGCAACACGGACACGTGCTACGGGATGGTCATCTACGCGGGTACGGCCGCCCGGCGCCCGGGGCGGGGGTCTGCGGGGAGCGGGCACCTGTCCCGCGGCGGGCGGGGGGCCTGAGCAGGTGCAAACCCCTCAGGTTTCGACACCAAGATCATGAAGAACTGCGGCAAGGTCCACCTGAAGAGAACCAAGATAGATCGTCTGATGAACCGGCTGGTGGTGCTGGTGAGGGGCCTGGCCTGGTGCCCGCAGGGGAGGGGTCCCCCAGGTCCCTGCGGCCGCCTCCAGGCCTCAGTGTCCCTGCGTGCGGATGGCGCGGCCGCCTCCTGGGACGGTTCCCGGAGGACAGCCGTCTGGCAGTCACGTCTCCTCCTTCCGTGGTGAACTCTGAGCTGCTGGTTCCCAGGCCCCGGAGGGTGCAGGGGCAGGGGGCAGGGGCAGGGGCAGGGGCAGGGGCAGGGTGTGAGCCGCCGGCCTCCCCTGACTGGCAGTTAATTTTTTGCCCCGTTAGTTTTATCTCTTTTGAAATCTTGTCGCTGAAGGAGTGTCCCCCTGCCTGCCCCCCTGCCTGCCCCCCATCTGCCCTCCTACCTGTCCCCCTGCCTGCCCCCTGCCTGCCCCCTGTCTGCCCCTTGCCTGCCCAACTGCCTGGCCCCTGCCTGCCCCCCTGCGGCACCCCCACAGCCCCCCCAGGTCCCCACTGCAGGACCCCTCTCCCTGAAGCCCCCCTGCCTGGCCCCAGGAGCCCCCGCAGCCCCCCCTTGCAGCCCCCTCCCCCCACCCCCCGCCGCCGCGGGTGCATCCCCTGTGTCCTCACTCCAGGACTCCCCACACTCCAGCGGCCCCTCTGTCCCCACAGATCTTCCTGTCACTGGTGCTGATCTCCATGGGGCTGAGCTTCGGTTTCTGGTTCAAGGTGAGCGAGTTCAAGGCCAAGCACCACTACGTGTCGTCCAGTTACATGCACAGTGTGGCCTCCGAGACTTTCATCATCTTCTGGGGCTTCCTCATCCTGCTCAGCGTCATGGTGCCCATGGCCATGTTCATCATGTGAGTCCCAGCCCCCCCCCCCCCCCCCCCCGCCTCCTGGGCCCGGGCCTGACCCCGCGGCTGCCTTTCAGGGTGGAATTCATCTACCTGGGGAACAGCATCTTCATCAACTGGGACGTGCAGATGTACTACGAGCCGCAGGACAAGCCCGCCAAGGCCCGCAGCACCAGCCTCAACGACCAGCTGGGCCAGGTGGAGTACGTGTTCTCGGACAAGACGGGCACGCTCACCCAGAACATCATGACCTTCAAGAAGTGCTGCATCGGGGGCGTCATCTATGGTGGGGACCCCGGCAGCGCCCCACAGCCTCCCTCAGCCTCCCTCAGCCTGACCTGCCCGAGCTGCCGGCGTGGTCTCGGGACCCGCCGAGGGCCGCGGAGCCGGGCTGTGCACCTCTGGGGCCGCCGGGTGTCGGCCTCCGGGGTGCTGGGTGTCCACCGTCAAGGCATCTGCCCACACGTGGGGAGGGTTCTGGGTTTTTACACGGAAACCTTTCCATGTGTCACGAGACCGCGTTCTCCTTTCGGCTTTCCCCCCAGTTGGCCTCCTTAGCTCTCGGCGCAGGGCTGTGGTGGGCGGGCCCCGGGCCTTGTAGACTGGCGCGGGTCGAGAGAGGGCCCGCTGGGTGGGACCCGGTGGCTCGTGCCCTCCTGTGGACTCCACCCACCCTCAGCCGGGGTCGGGGGGCAATAGGAGGCGGCGGGGTCTGTGGCGAGCGGCGTGGACCCCAGGCCAGGTCTTCTGATGTGTCTAGAAGGGCTGGGGACCCAGGTTCTTATGCGGAGTCGCCCAGTTTCTCAAAGTAGGCAGCCAAGTCCTGTTGTGACCCGATCCCAGGAGGGCCCCACAGGCGGTGTGGCCCATGGGGCTGAGCCGCTCGCCGGGCCGCCCGTGGGGACCCCGGGAGCTGCGGCTGCACCTGGCCCTCCTCAGTGCAGAGCCCCGGGCCCAGCTGGTCGGCTGCACCCGACGGGGGTCCGGGGAGCGAGGCCTGACGCGGGGTCTTTCCCCAGGCCCGGATGAGGACGAGGACACCCCAGCTAAGGTGAGCCCCGGCCGCCCTGCCCCGGGTGGTGGGGGCCCGGGCAGCAGCGGCCCCGAGCCCCTGCCTGCCTCACCGCGCCCGCAGGAGGACCCCTACCTCTGGAACGAGTTTGCCGACGGGAAGTTGCTCTACCGGAACTCGAGGCTGCTGCGCGCCGTCCGCGCGGGAGAGGACAGGCTGGTGCGGGAGTTCTGGCGCCTGCTGGCCATCTGCCACACCGTGATGGCGCAGGAGAGGGACAGTGCGTGCGCCGACCCCTCCCCGCCGGGGGCGCGGGCCCTCAGACGCTCCCTGGCCCTGGGGGCGACCAGGCCTGAGGCCCAGCACCCGCCCCCTCCGCTGGGCTCGCCCCAGCAGCCCGCACCGGCACCCCATGTCCCCCCCGGGTCTGCCCGCCCCCCAGCTGTGACGGGACCGCTAGGGATGAGTGGGAGGGCGCCCGCCCCACCCTGTGCCTCCCTCCCCCAGACCGGCTGGTGTACCAGGCAGCGTCCCCCGACGAGGAGGCGCTGGTCACCGCGGCCCGGAATTTTGGCTACGTGTTCGTGGCCCGCACGCAGGACAGCATCACGGTGATGGAGCTGGGGGAGGAACGGGTGTACCAGGTGCTGGCCATGATGGACTTCAACAGCATACGCAAGCGCATGTCGGTGCTGGGTGAGCGCCCGGGCCCTGGGGGGGGGGGCGGGGGCGGGGGACAGTGTGGGCAGCCAGGCCTCCTCTGCTCTGCAGTCCGCAACCCCGAGGGCTCCATCTACCTCTACACCAAAGGCGCTGACACGGTCATCTTTCAGCGCTTGCGCAACAAAGGCACGCAAGAGTGGACTACCGAGGAGGCCTTGGCTGTGAGTCCTTGTGGGAGGAGAGGCTGTGGGGGGCAGGGGACCGGGGGTGAGGGCACAGGGACCGGGAGAGGAGGCCGAGGAGGCGAGTGTGCCAAGGAATGGCAGGCACCCGGCTGGCCACGTCCAGGTGTCCAGGTTGTGCACTGCACAAGCCCCACCCCAGGCTGGGAAGGAGCTGAACTCTAAGCTGTGTGTGTCCAGAGGGCACCTCTTCTAAGTCTCACAAGGACACCCTGTGGTTGGACATTGGCCCTGGACACCGTCCGCCTCTTCCCAGCCTGGGTGCTAACACAGCCTTGGCCTCCTGGCCTCCAGTCTTCTGCTCCGTGGGTGACGCCCGAAGTCCTCTGCCTGGCTGCTGAGACTCCATCTGCCTGTCTCCTGCTGGCCTCTCTAGCTTCGTGGCTCCTTGTCCCCAGAGGGTTTCCTGGGACCCCCAGTTTCCAGGTGGCAGTTTGCCTCCACCTCAGGTGGTGCCTCAGGGCCTTCGTACACACTGGTCCGTCCACTTGGCATGCCCCTTCCTGTCTGTCACTCAGGATCTTCTGGTCCTCAAACCTCAGATGCGAGGCCCCCACCTCCAGGGAGGTTTTCCTGCCTCAGCCCTGACACAGGCTGTCGGGTCCTGCCAGGTGTCCTCCCTGGCCCAGCCCGGACCTTGTGAGGCCCCCAGGGCTTTGCTGGGTGTCCAGCATCACTTAGCATGGGGGCCGTGGGTGTGTCTGGGGAGAGCTTGTCCTGTGTCCATCCCCCGGGGCTCCCCCTGTGCCCTGCTCTGCGGGGGGGGGTTGGGGGCGGCCTCTGGTCTCCAACTCTGAGCTGGGGACACGCACACAGAGTAATGACACAGAGCCCAGGAGCTCGGCAACATGGCTCGGCTCAACTGCCTTGGGGAACAAAGGGGTAAACTGAGGCACGAGAGCAGCAAAGACCTATCTGTTTCTTCTGATGTGCAAGGATGTCCCCGAGGCAGGATCCCTCCTTCCTGCCCCCCCACCCCGAGAGGGCCCTTGAAGAGGGAGGCTGAGTGGGGCAGAGACATCCCTAACCCCACGGCCCTGGCAGGAGGGAGGGTCTTAGGGTCTGTTACGAATGGCCTCATTCCTGGCTGGGGAGGCAGGGCCCTGGGGGGCCGGGGAGCGGGGGTCCACGGGGCAGGGGGCCGGCGGGCAGCGAGAGGGTGGTGCCAGGCCCACCGGCCCGGCCCGCAGTCCTTCGCAGAGCAGACCCTGCGGACCCTGTGCCTGGCCTACAAGGAGGTGGACGAGGCCGTGTTCGAGGGCTGGCGCCAGCGGCACCAGGAGGCCAGCATCCTGCTGCAGAACCGGGCGCAGGCCCTCCACCAGGTGTATGAGGAGATGGAGCAGAACCTGCAGGTGGGCCGCGTGTGCAGGGGGGGCCCGCAGCCCCCACACCTGCCCCGGAGCTGAGTCCCCACCCCCCGCCCCCAGCTGCTGGGAGCCACAGCCATTGAGGACAGACTGCAGGACGGCGTGTGCGACACCATCAAGTGTCTCAAGCAGGGGAACATTAAGGTGTGGGTCCTCACAGGTGATAAGCAAGGTGGGTCTCAGGGCGGTGACGCCCAGCGCAGGGGGGCATCTCCTTCGGGTGGGCTGGCACGGAGCGTGGGCCCGTCACCCCTGTGTGACGTGGGCCAGCCCAGGGACTCGGGGCCACAGCAGCAAGGAGCCTCAGGCCCCGGGCGCCCCGACTCTCCCTGCCCTGGGCTCTTCAGGGGCCAGCAGGGCCGCATCAGGACCTAGGCCTTGGGCGCCGACCCGCAAGGTACCTGCACTGACGTCCTGCGGCTGCATTAGTATAAACACAGATACCCAAGTGGGTTATGTTCTCTTTTTTCTTCTGATTTTAAAAGAAATTAAGTCATTTTTGTGGGTGCCAAGAAGCGCCCATGGGTGGCCGTGCTATGTCTAATGAGCCCTTCCTTGGCCGCGGCCCCCGGACCCCCCTCCTCGGGGGCCTAGCCTGGGCCAGCGGACCGACCGCGGTGGGGACCCGAGCCGACCTCTCAGGGCCGCCCGTCATTGGCGAGGAGGGGGAGGGGCCGGGTCCGCGTCTACGCAGCCGGTGGGCATGGCCCCAAGCCAGGGGCTGCCGGGCGCTGAGCCGGCTCCTTTGCAGAGACGGCGGTGAACATCGGCTTTGCCTGCCAGCTGCTGTCGGAGAGCATGCTCATCCTGGAGGAGAGGGAGATACTGTACGAGGTGGGGCGGGGCGGCGGGGGGGCCTGGGCCCCGGCGAGCCTGGTGACCCCGCCGTCCGTCCGTCGTCCGCAGGCAGATCCTGGAGGCCTACTGGGAGAGCAACAACAACAAGCCGCACGGCAAGGGCAAGGGCCATTGGAAGAACCAGTTCCTGCCACACATCAAGGTGGCCATGGTCATTACCGGGGAGTTCCTGGTCAGTGTCCCCTCAGGGCTGCGACAGGGCCCGGGTACCGGGGGCTCAGCCTCTAATCGCCTGGCCCGGGAGGAGGGGCCGGTGGGGGCGCCCTGGAGCCGAGGCTGCGGCCAGTGATGCCCCCCCCGCCCCCCCCCAGGACCAGGTGCTGCTGTCTCTGCGCAGGGAGCCCCGGGCGCTGGTCCACAGCGTGAACGTGGAGGTGGACGAGCCCTGGCAGGAGCCGGCGGAGCAGAAGACGGACTTCCTGCGGGCCCGGCGCATGTCCCTGATGTGGCGCGCCCTGGGGATCCCCCTGCGGGGCACCGGCCTGGCGCCGCAGGCCGCGGCCTCCAGCAGCAGCGACATGCTGTGCGTGCAGCGGGAGCGCGCCTTCGTGGAGCTGGCCTCGCAGTGCCAAGCGGTCATCTGCTGCCGGGTGACGCCCAAGCAGAAGGCCTTGATCGTGGGGCTGGTCAAGAAATACCAGCGCGTGGTGACCCTGGCCATCGGGGACGGCGCCAACGACGTCAACATGATCAAGAGTGGGTAGCGGGCGGCGGGGGCGGCGGGGCGGCGGGGCGGCGGGCCGCGGGGCTGACGGCCGTGCCCCCGCAGCTGCGGACATCGGCGTGGGGCTGGCGGGGCAGGAGGGCATGCAGGCGGTGCAGAACAGCGACTACGCGCTGGCGCAGTTCAGCTTCCTGAGGCGCCTGCTGCTGGTGCACGGGCGCTGGTCCTACGTGCGCGTCTGCAAGTTCCTGCGCTACTTCGTCTACAAGTCTCTGGCCAGCATGATGGTGCAGGTCTGGTTCGCCTTCTACAGCGGCTTCACCGCGCAGGTGCGCTGCGCCGCCCGGGGCCCCGGGCGCTGGCCCCCAGGGGCGAGGGGGCTGCGTCCCTGACCCCTGGGCTCTGGGCCGCGTCGCGGCAGAGGTGACACGCGCCCTCGGGAGCTTGGGAAGGGGTGGCAGGCGGCGGAGCCACCGAGCCCGCGCCAGCGGGAATGAGCTCCCGTCACCGAAACCGCGGCCCAGAGGCGCCAGACACGAGCGTGTGGTGTGGGTTTGTTTTCCTTCTTTGTTTATAGGTATTCCTCAGATGTTCCTTTTTAAAAAGAATATTTATTTATTCATGAGACACACCCACACGCACACACACGCACACACACGCACAGAGGCAGAGACACCGGCAGAAGGAGAAGCAGGCTCCCTGCAGGGAGCCCGATGTGGGACTCGATCCGGGGACCCGGGGTCACGCCCTGGGCCGAAGGCAGACGCTCGACCGCTGGGCCACCCAGGTGCCCCCTTTTTCAGGTGTTTCTATAAATGGAATTGTTTGCTTGATTTGCTTTTGGGACTGTTCGCTGCCGGTGTATACAAGCAGGAGTGATTTTTTGAGTTTTGGTCTGTGCCCCACAACTTTGCTGAATCTGTTAATCGGCTCTAGCAGCTTCCTGGTGGATCCTATGGGAGTTTCCGCGTATAGGATGGTGCCCTCTGCAAACAGGGATCTCTTTGCTTCTTCCTTTTCTACCTGAATAGCACTTATTTCCTTTCCTTATCTGATGGCTCAGGCGAGGACTCGCAGCGCGACGTCGCGCAGCGTTGAAGGCAGGCGTCGCACGTGCTCGGGCCCGTGCGGGACAGCGGCGGTTCCTGTGCGCGTGTGTCAGCTGGAGGAGCCGCGGCTTCTGCTCTACTTGTCCATTCGGCGTGTGTTCCTAGCAGGGTGCACTCGGGGGTATTACTCACTGTGTATTTTGTGCTCAGATTGTCCCTGATTTGTCCTTCGGACACGTGCCCGCCGTTCTCCCCACTTCCCGGGGCTGCAGGACTCCCCGTGTTCATTTTGTACGTTCCTGCCCCAGCGCTGCCGCAGCCCTGCCCACGGGGAGCCCTGGCCCTCGGTGCTGAGACACCGGGATCTCAGCGCTGTGTGCTCGCCGGCCCTGCCATGTAACCGCGTCATATTAACCCCGTGGAGGTGAACGTCTACACCTGTGTCCCCTCGGTGTCTGCCTGTCCATCCATCCATCTTTATTGAATATTAAGAACTATGAGTTCACAGCGATCCGCGTGATTCCAGTCCCGCGGGACGAGGCTCCGCGTAGCCTTTGCCACGTTCTCATTTGTGATTCTCTTCTCTCAACAGTGAGAAACCTGATTCTTGCAAGATCTTTTATTGTCCCTTGTTTGCTCGATACCAGAGCGCACGTACGGGGATTTTAGAGCCGAAGCCCATATTCCGTTAGCGGGGTTGCATTCGTCCTCAGGAGCGCTACTCGCCCCAAGGGCTCCTCCGCGTGGTCACCTCCCGCAACCTAAAAGGACAAAATACCCCACATCCTCAGGTCATTTTTCCTCCTGTGGTTCTGCATTGAAGCCACCGCCTTAAAAGGACGGAGGGACGCCTGGGGGGCTCCACGGTTGAGCGTCTGCCTTCGTCTGCCTTCGGCTCAGGGCGTGACCCTGGGGTCCTGGGATCGAGTCCCACATCTGGCTCCCCGCAGGGAGCCTGCTTTCCCTCAGCCTGTGTCTCTGCCTCTCTCTGTGTCTCTCATGACTAAATAAACAAAATCTTAAAAACAAAAACAAAAACAAAAACAACACAGGACAGAAAGGGGGCAGTTGGGCAGTAATTAGACGCCCGCCTCTCCTCTCGGCCTTTCCTCTCCCAGCCTTCATCAAGCCTCCTGTAGGCCGCCCCTGGTCTCAGCAGGTCTGTAACTTGACTTTTCAGCCTCTGTATGAAGGCTGGTTCCTGGCGCTCTTCAACCTGCTCTACAGCACACTCCCCATCCTCTACGTCGGCCTGTTCGAGCAGGTGAGCAGCCCCCGGCCCCGCCACCGCCTCCCCCTCCCCTGGAGACGCTCCGGTGTCCACCCTCCCCGGAGGGCGAGGGGCCGACCCCACTCCCCACCAGGTCCCAAGAGCCTGCCACTCGCCCCCGCCCCACCCCCAGGATGTGAGTGCCGAGCGGAGCCTGGAGCTGCCCGAGCTGTACGTCGCTGGCCAGAAGGACGAGCTCTTTAACTACTGGGTCTTTGTCCAGGCCCTTGCCCACGGCATGGTCACCTCCCTGGTCAACTTCTTCATGACCCTGTGGGTCACCCAAGACTCAGCTGGGCCCATCAGCTTCAGCGACTACCAGTCTTTCGCGGTGGTCGTGGCCCTGTCGGGCCTGCTATCCATCACCATGGAGGTAGGCGGGCCACCAGCTGGTCCCACTCGGGGCCCTGGGACACGAGGCACCGCGGTCTCCCGGCGCAGTGACCCTGCCGGGGGCTCTAGCAGGTGCCACTCGTGGGCCCCGGGGATCTGGCCCCCACTGGAGCCCTCGGTGCCACCCTGGCTTCGTCCTGTCTCCCCACTCAGGTCATACTCATCATCAAGTATTGGACAGTCCTGTCTGTGCTGGCCATTGTCCTCAGCCTCTTCTTCTATGTGGTTGTAACTTGGGTCACCCAGAGTTTCTGGCTCTTCCAAATCTCACCCAAGACCTTCCCATTTCTGTGTGAGCCCCCAGCAGGGGGTGGGTGGTGGGCCCTGGAGAGGGGGACCCGCTTTGCCCCTCTCGGAGCCTCTGTCTTCTCAGCTGCCCCAGGGGTGCATGCAGGGGGGCGGGAGGAGGGGACGGTGTTGGGTGTCAGGAGGCTCTGTGGAGGCTCCAGCCGGGGTTGGGCTGTGACCCTGCCCTGTCACTAGATGCTGACCGAAACGTGCTGTCCCACCCCTCCATCCTGCTGGTCATCCTGCTGAATGTGTCACTAAACACCTTGCCCACACTGGCCCTGCGTGTCATTTACCAAGCCCTCAAGAAGCCTCGCCCCAAGGTGAGAGCCAGGGGTCCCTGTTGCACTCTCTTGGGACCCCTCAGCCACAGCCTGTGCGGGAAGACAGAAGCTCCAAGACACAGGGGGCGGTGGGAGGAGTGGAGACCCGGGCACACATCCGGTGCCCTTGGAGCAGGGGACACCAAGTAACAGGCCCCAGGGTCACCCTCAGATGGTCAGGCTTGGGGTTCCACAGGACAGAGCAACTTGGGGTCCGTCCACACCCGATGGGAACGGGTACCCACTGTGTGGCCCGTCCATACCCGGGATACGACCCAGCCCTGGGAAGGAAGGGACCCCAACACCTGCCCCCACATAGATGGATCCCGAGGACACCGGGCTCGGGGAGGGGACCCAGACCCAGAAGGACGGCTCCCGCAGGACCCCACTCCCAGGAGATCCCCAGAGGAGGCCCGTGCACAGAGACAGAGAGGAGGTGGTGGGAGCCAGGGGAGGGGGGCGGGGGTCAGTGCTTCCTGGGGACGGGGTCTCTGTGTGGGGAGATGGAAGGTTCTGGACATGGTGGTGGGGGTGGGTGCGCGGCGGGTGAGGGTGCTCCGTGCCCTGAGCTGTGCACCTACGGGGGTCACGGAGGTACGTTTTGTGTTACACGTATTCTGCTAAAAAGAAAACAAGTGTGTGTGGGAATTTAGGGGCTCCCATGACCGACGCCTAGAGGGGCCCCAGGGCTGAGCGGAATAGCGGACCCGAGCCTGCCCCCTTCTGCCCTCAGGCTGCACACTCGGCCTCCCAGGCCCACCTGTGTGGGCATCGCCACCAGGGGGCACCCAAGGCACCCGGGGGTCGTCCAGGGTCGGGGCCCCGAGGGCGGGGGCGGCCCGGGGGCGGGTCCCGAGAGGTGACGGTGACCGGGCTGTCCCGCGTGCAGGAGGCGGAGGCGGCCCCGAGCGAGGCGGCGGCGGCGGCGGAGGGGCCCCAGCTCCGCCGGGAGTCGCGGGGCCGGCGCTCCAGCTACGCCTTCTCCCACCGCGAGGGCTACGCGGACCTGATCACGCAGGGCACGAGCCTGCGGAGGGCGCCGGGCCCCGACAGCGACCTGCTGGCGCACGAGGCCCACCCGCCGCGGGAGCCGCCGCCCGGCGCCACGGAGGCCCCCCGGCTGCCGCGGACGCTGTCGTTCGTGGGGAGGCGGCGGCAGGGCAGGGTGTCCTCGGAGGACGAGCCGCGCACGGCGAGCTCCTGCGCCACCGTGGACCAGCGGCACGCCCGGCAGCCCGGCGCGGCCCAGGACGCGGGGAGCTCGCCGCAGCCCCTGCCCGAGGCCCCGGGGAAGGCGTCGCGGTGGGGGGTCCCGCCGCCGCCCCGGGGGACCTGGCCCTCCAGCTGGCGGAGGCTGCTGCAGCCGGTCCGGCGGGGGCCGCCCGACCCCGAGCGCTCGGCCCGCGGGGAGCAGTGACGGCCCGCTCGCTCCGCGCCCGTGTCCTTTGCTAATAAACCGATAACCCACCTTTCCCGGCTCCTCCGGGCTCGCTCCGGCCCGCGCGGGCGACCCCAACACCTCCCTCTGCTGGCCCGAGGGGCGATTTGCAGGAAGAGTCCTGGGGGGAGGGGAGAGGCGAGGAGAACCGGGAGGGGAGCAGGGAGGGGAGCAGGGAGGGGAGGGGAGCGGGGAAGGGAGAGGGGAGCAGGGAGGGCAGTGGGGAGGGGAGGGGAGCGGGGAGGGGAGCAGCTTCCCCACCAGCGCGGCTCCGCCCTGCCGACTCTCCTGGGACTAGGTCGGCCCCATCCAGGCTGCCCCAAGGCGCCCCCTCAGAGCAACCGCGTTGGGCCCCAAGCGGGAGGCCGAGGCCCCCCGGGGAGACACACGCTCCCCCGCCCCCCAACACTCCCCGTCCCCCAACACGCAAATCAGCGGAGTGAGTAGAAAATAATTTATTGGAGAAAAACAAAACAACAAATCCAGCACAGCAATGGTTAACAATGACGATGATTTTAACTTTTCAGCCTGTCACCTGAGGGAGGGAGGGGGAGGGCTTCTGATCCCTCCAGCCCTGGGGGGGACTCGGGTGACCCAGCCGGTGCCCCGTGGGAGCAGCCTTAGTGTCCAGTGTTGATTAAACACTCAGGGCCACATGGGCTCCTGGCACTCCCTCCCTCCTGCCGGAGAGAACCCCCCCAAAGACCAGCCCTTGGGGTGCCGGGGCCCCAGCGGGGAAGCCCAGGAGGGGCTGCTGGGGGGGCTCACGCTGCTCTGGTTCCAGAGTGGAACGGCCCAAATCCCAGGTGGTGCTGGGCTGGACGGGAGGGGCCCTGCAGCCTGCCCCCCACCCCGGGCCTCCAGGGGGTCCTCCATGACCTTCAGAGTGAGGTCCCGCCTCCCCCAGGCCCCTTCCTGGGGCCTGGCTCGAGGGGGCCTCCCCGTGGGAGCTCAGCAGAGGTGGGACCACTACCCCAGAGCCCCCTCTCGGGAATCTTACTGGGAGGAGCCAGGAGGGGGGCTCCACAGCCGAGCCCCCCCCCCCATCCCAGGCCAGACAGAAAGGTGAACTCCCGTCCAGCCCAGGGCCTGGAGCCTGGGTGCCTGCCCGGGGCGGGGGTGGGGGTGGGGGACTGTCTCAGGAGGGCACTCAGCATCTCGGGAAGTCGGGGTGCGCCCCGGCCCCCACCACCCTGGGCGACAAGACTCGAATTGGCTGATTGTCTCTCTCCTCTGAACAAGACACTTGGGAATTCATGCTCACGTGAAACCAGCTGGGTTGGGGTAGGGGGTCCGGGGTGGCGGCCACACCCACTGGCCCCCCAAGAACCAGGAATGGGAGACCCAGGATCTCCCACCTAGTTGGCACAGGCAGGTGGCACGTGGGTACCGGGAGGTGGAGACGGGGCTCAGGCTGAGGCCCTGCGACTCCCCCGCCTCCCAGTCCCCCGTCCCCGTCCCCCCACCCGAGGCCTCGCCCCCCTCCCGCCGCTGGACACAGACCCTCAGACAGGGGGACACGAACACAGAGCAGCGCAAAGGAGCACGACCCAACTGGAGCGTGAAACACAACCATGCGACACGGACCCCGGGGCCCCGCCCCGCCCCCCCGCCCCCCAGCACATCAGCGTCAAGAAAGAGTACATTAGTCATGCAGCAAATCAAATTCCATTGTCTTTTTTTGGGATTTTTCTTACTTTTTTTTTCTTAAATTACATTTGAACACAGAACACATAGAATAATAAATACTCTTATCAGACACGACTCCAAAAAACGAGAAACAGAACACGCCGGAGAACAGAAAGGTACACTCTCTCTCTCTCTTCCTGTCTTTCCTAAAAGGACTCGTTTTGGGTAAGAAATCTGTAAACGCCGGTCCCCGCGCCCGCGGCCTCTGCTGTCGCCGCCTCGCCCGCGGCCTCTCACCACCCGGCTCGCTGCCCTGACATTCAATGTGTCTCCCACGGAACTCTTCAAAGAAATGACATACCATCGTCTGCAAAATTATAATTTAACGGTATAAAGCTTCAAGTCACGTATTCCAAAAACTAGCTAAGGATTTTTCTTTTTATCACATAAACTATACATTAAATATTTTGAGGTATTTCAGAGAAAATTGTCAAAGGCTCTAAGGAGCTGTGCTGGAGGTGTCATTCCCTGCGTGGAGAATGGTCTTTGGTATTGTGACAACCAGCTGGGTGTTGGGGACAGCGGGGTGGGGCCCAAGGGGGCTCGGGAGCGGGTGGGGGAAGGCGGGTGTGTGTGTGTGTGTGTGTGTGTGTGTGCGCGCGCGCGCGCGCGCGCGTGAGTGTTTGGGGGGTTGATGGGGACCCGGGAGTCCGGGGATTCCTCTGTGCCCGGAGCTGGTGGGGCGTGACCGCCCTGACCACAGGTCACCAGAGCTCGAGAGTTCCACCAGCAGCAGGGCCCCCCCAATTCCTAACTTTCCAACAGAGGCCACAACAGACACCTGTGGCGTGTGAGCCGCGGATCTTAAATGCTGGGGGAGCAGGCGCCTTACCCAGCCCTGTCCCCCGCCAGCAGGTGCGCCGCCCCGGAGCCCGGGGACAGCGGAGGTGCAAGGAGGGGGCCCGGCGCCCGCGCAGGGCAGCGGCGCGTGTGTGCGTGTGCGTGTGCGTGTGCGGGAGGAGTTGGTTGCTGAGCGGGGACAGGGACGCTTAGGATTCTTCCCCAACACCCAGAGGTTCTAGAAGCATCACTCAGATCGGTTGCTTAAAAAGCTGGGAGAATAGCGAGTCGATAAGGACAAGAGAACATGTCACACACATCTTTGGTTCCAGAAAAAGGCACTCATCGACCTCAGTATCCTCTCCCTCTCTGTCTCTCTCTCCTCCCCTCCTTCTCTCCGTCCTCCCTCTCTCTCTCTCTCTCTGTCTCTCTCTGTCTCTCTCCCCCCATCGAGGCGGGGGAGCGGGGCGCACCTGCGGGGCGCCCCTGGTCCCAGGCGCGGGAATTCCAGCATCCAGCACAGGTCCTTGGGGGGAATCTTTGGTATCAGGCGTGATTTATCCAATCACAGACAAGAACGTTAGAGTGAGGTAGCCTTTACCTGGGGGAGGGGGAGGGCATTTCTCTAGAAATGTCTTTTGCATTCTCGAGGGGGGAGGGGCTGACTACCTCCCTGGGAGGCAGCGGGCGCGCGGGGGCTCGGGGTGAGGTTCCTTCTCGCCTCCAGATGTTGAACGGTGGGGGGCGGGGCTCTCGGGATCCGGCTGCCCGCCAGCCCTGGGGGTCACCCGGAGGGGAGGCGCCGGGCTCGGGGTGCCGCCGGCGTCCCTTCTCACCCTTGCTTCCCCCTCCTCAATTTTTTTGGCAAAAAAAAATAAAAAAAATAAAAAATAAAAAGGGCAAGCGGATTCCACCGTCTCCAGCGTCTTCCGTCCTGTCCCCTGGGAGAGAGAGTCTCAGCGCGGCTCGCCCTTGCCCCCTCTTCGGGCCCAGCGCGGCACCCCCCCACCCCCCCGAGCGCCGGGCTTCTGGAAGGTTCCACGCGGGGCGCGCGCGCGGATTCCGGGTGGGCCCCCGCGCTCCGTCCGTGCGCCTCGTCCCCCGTGGTCTGGCTGGGGCGGGCGGGCGGGCGGGTTTTCTGCTTCTGTTTCCCGATCCGTGTCTCCCAGTGTCATCAAGGTGCCTGAAGGTAAAGTGACCTGACGGGTCCGGGGGCGCGGGGGAGGCGTCTGGACTGTACCCGCATGTGTGCGCTGGCCGTCCGCTCCGGGGGGCGGGGGGCCCGCCGTGCGCCCTCGGCTCCGCGGCGCCCCCTCCCCAGACGTTAAGGCAGGCGATTCTTGGCACGAGGAACCCTGGCCGCCGGGGCTGGGGGTGGGGTGGGGGTGGGGTGGGGTGGGGCCTCGGCTGTGGGCGGTGCTGCCGGCGGAGGGGCTGGTCTTGGGGCGGGGGGCGGGGCGCTGGAGGGACCGCTGGGGAGGAGGGCTCCTCCGGCCTGGGGAGGGGGGCCTGGCCGAGGAGGGGGGTGATTCTCAAAATTCCTTCTGTTAAATACCCGGTTTATATTTCTAGTATGTGCTTCTTGACCCGCTTTCGGGGACACGGGGGAGCCCTGGCTTTCGCAGGCCCTCTGCGTCCTGAAGGAGGGGGCTGGGGAGCCCCTCCTGCCGCCCCTCCCCTCCGGGGGGCGCAGGGCTCCCTTTGGCCTGGAGGGGAGGGGGCCCTTCTTGTGCACTGGGCGGCGCGGCGGGGCTCAGGCCTTGGAGAAGGCGGCGCTGCCGGCGGGGCCCGGGGGCGCGGCGCCCGGCTCCTCGGCCCAGCGGTTCATGCAGCGGCGCCGCGCGTTCATGAAGAAGTTGCTGACGGTGTTGAGCTCCAGGCCGAGCTGCTGCGAGATGGTGACCTGCATCTCCTTGGACGGCCGCTTGTTCTCCTTGAAGATGGCGATGAGCGTGCGCCGCTGCAGGTCGGTGAACACCAGGCGCTGCTTCTTGGGCTGCAGCGCGCGCTCCTTCTGCTGCTCCTGCTCCTTGCGCTTGCAGGCTGCGGGGGGCGGGGGGGGACGGGGACGTGGGGGACACAGAGACGGGATAGCGTCAGCGCGGCCCCACCGCCGCCGGCACTCAGGCCCCGCTTCCCCTGCTTCCTCCCTGCGGGGAGGCCCGGTGTAGACCCGGCTGGAGAAGCGCACCTTACTGGGTCCTGGGGGCGCGCCCGCCCGGTGACCCGGGGACCAGTCTGTGCCTCCTTACCCGGCTGTGCTCCCGGGCCTGATGCGCGCAGGGGCCGGTCATCGGGCCCACAGTGCCACAGCCCTGCCTGGCACAGCTGAGCCCCCACCCCTGCCCCCACCCCTGGAGTCTGAGGCCTGGGCTTGGCCTCCCTCAAATGCCCAAGGGATCCCCTGGAGCTGGGGGATCTAAGGAGGGGTGGGGGGCACGTAGGACCCAGCTCCCCCTCTGCAGCATAGAGAAGGCTGCCGGCTGATGGATGTTTGCCTATAGGAGGTGGCACCCCATCAGGGCCCCGAGCAGAGCAGGACCCCAGGCTCCTCCTCGGGGC